CAGTTTGATCAAAATCCTCCAGTTTAAAATCCTCACTGCTCAGATGAATCCTCCTCAAAGATACTTCCTCCTCTTCCTCACATCTTGTTCTTTGGGAAACCTTCAAAATGAAAACAGGACATTTGTGTCTACACAAAAACATTGTACAAAGGAGGTCAATCTTATTTTCCATTTCCTATATTCTCCCTAGTTTTATTATTTTATTTCCTAGAACTTAAACAAAACTCCAGTTCTGATGCATATCTGTTGATAATGAACCAAAGCCTCTGAAATAGTGAGTATGCTTGTTAGCAAAATATTCCTGTCATCAGATCACAGTCAGCTTCATTGCAGCTGAACACCGTGTTACACTGAACATCACATCAGCTGGTGGACATAAATACAGTACAGTAATATTATATTCACAAAATACTAACAATAATATGTTCATCTTACTGTGAAAAGTTATCCCCCGAGACCGGACGTCAACAGTCCGTCGATCTGAACAGAAATAAGCTGCGAAGTGCTGAGACATCTTCTGCTTTAACTGAATAAGGACGACCGCTCCAAGATGGCGGCCGAAAATCCTGCGCCTCAGCAGCCAGTGAGGCATCTAGTGTTTATATCTATGGTTTTACCAGCCTGCGTGCTGAAACCACGTGACACCTTACAGTCAATATCGAAACTTGACACCGAAATAAGAGTGAGGTTTCAATACATACACTGACCGGTGCAGTTCGGTCGGTGCCATAAAAGAACCTCGGATTGTTTCAAGAGTATAAGCAGATATCTGTGTGATTGTGGTTCTGAACAGACCCAGTGAGGCCTTCTCATCCTGCCTCGCCTTTAACCCACGAGCGACAGCCTTAAAGGGCGCGCCTATACTCAGAGAAGTGGGGTTACAGTACGAAACCAACGTCATGCACACTGCAACAGCAGAACATGGACTCAACAATACTAGCTTTAATACACATTTTACTTGGTTTTTTTTCAAAAAAGTTTAATTCAACTGATAAAGAATACAAGCCTGTGCGATACGTGCAAGGTGACTGAGAACCCTCTCAAACTTCGAAGACCGTTATAAAATGCTCCTTTCAACGAGTCTTCAGCAGTTTCAGCCCAGTGGATGCCGTCTGCTGACACTCACATGAGTCAGAGGTTCGGAACCACAAAATGTCCAGTTGTGAGTAGAACACTTATTTGTTCTTGTTTTGGCTGCTGCCTTTTCTCAGGGGTCGCCACAGCGGGACACGCTCTTTTACGCTGGGTGACTATCCTGACAGCGAGCTACAGCAGCCCACGTGTGGAGCAAAGAGGTACCGCCTAAGGAAGCCCAGGGGAACACACGGGGGGTTAAGGGCTTCGCTTAAGGGCCCACAATTGGGCAAATTAGGTTGGAGGCAGGTGTGGGTGCTTTATCTTCCCCACCCAAATTTGATGCAACGGTCAGGGGATTCAGACCAGCAGACCATGGACCAGAAGCTCGACTTGTCTAAGGTCTGACTCCCTGGATAAAGTTTAGATAAAAGGTGTGACACTGTGAGCAGCGCTTTACCTTCTTGTGCCAGTTCTCCCACATTGATGTAGGTCAGCCCTGTCCTTTTGGCCAACTCCTTTCCCAGGGTGGTCTTCCCTACGCCCGGTGTTCCTGAGGACAACAACAAACATCTTGATTACATTTTATATTTGGAAAAACAAAATAAACTGAAAATATGATCAAAACTTTAGGGATGCAACAACGAATCAATAAAATTGATAAAAATCAATTATTAAAAGTGTTTGCAACGAATTTCATTATCGATTCATTGCGTCACGTGGTTAAGCATCTCTCACGGCGTTGCAGCGCTGTTTCGGTCACCTGCAGATAGGGCTGGGCGATATCGCAATATTTTTAAAATATTTTTAAAATATCGCAATAACTTTTTTTGCGATATAAGTTGAGACTATCTCGATATAAAACAATATAGTTTTATACTTGAAAATCCTCCCGCTGTCCCCTCCTCCCGCTCGCCTCCCTCCTCCCGCTCGCCTCCCTCCTCCCGCTCGCCTCCCTCCTCCCGCTCGCCTCCCTCCGAAAAGTCGGAACTAGAATTTTTTCCACCATTTAAACAGCGGAGTGGAGAATGAGCCGTGAAGCTGCAGCTCCGAGTGTGTGTACAGCCTTCTTCCTTGAACCAAACCACGGCTCAGAGCTCATTTAGCCGTGCTTTATCAGAAGAGCAGAGAGGTGGCCACGTTAATAAATCAGCAGTTTATCGTTTCACTAAAGACACGGTCTTCAGCGGCTTGCACTCTGATCCAGACAAAACAACTCTAACACACAGTAATACGAGTTCTAACATTTGACTTCAGTAAGTGAAAAACATGACTTTTCACTTCTCCATCAGCTTCCAGATGTTCCAGAGCTGAGACTGACCGTGTCTTTAATAGATCAGCAGTTCATCACTAATGTCTCCACCTCTGCCTGCTCTTCTCATAAAGCACGGCTAAATGAGCTCTGGCCCGTGGTTTGCTTTAAGGAAGCAGCAGGCTGGAAGAACACGGCGCTGCAGCTTCACGGTTCTGAGTGCAGGCTCACTTTACTGCGGTTCACACACACGTACCAACGTGAAGGCACCTTTCCATTTTACCAAGATCCTCAAAACTCTACAACACAACCGGTGTCCTCATTTAGCCATTCGTACAGTCTACCAGATCTCTACAAAGACTAACCAGAGCTTTAGCACATTCAGACACAGGTGGGACACACATCAGAGGCTATGAGGGCTTCAGTGCAGGGCTGCGACTAACGATTATTTCAATAATCGATTCAGCGGCCCATTATTTTTTCGATTAATCGATGAACAGGAAAAAATGACAACGTTTTAATTTCCACCCCTTTATTCCAAAATTGAACATTTGACTGACGTAGAAATTCACACAAAAACAGGTTGGTACTTGACTATTCTGTTAGGAAAATATTGAATAATAAAAATAAAAGTTAGTCAAATAGCTTAAAAAAATAAATGTACACAAAAAATACAAATGTGTCTTTATACCTGCACAATATGTAGTTACTTTGTAAAATGTGTCATTGAGGGAAGAGTGTAACCTGGATTAAAAGTGTGGATTATTGTAACCTGGATTAAAAGTGTGGATTATTGTAACCTGGATTAAAAGTGTGGATTATTGTAACCTGGATTAAAAATGTGGATTATTGTAACCTGGATTAAAAGTGTGGATTATTGTAACCTGGATTAAAAGTGTGGATTATTGTAACCTGGATTAAAAGTGTGGATTATTGTAACCTGGATTAAAAGTGTGGATCATTGTAACCCGGATTAAAAGTGTGGATTATTGTAGTGAAGCCTTCGTCTTCAACCATGGACAGAGGCCTCATGTCAGTGACGATCATGTTCAGGATGTTTCAGTGAAGACAGCTGCTGCTGTGGTGTCCATGATGTCTGTCCATCATGAAGGATGTTGTTGTTGTTGTTTTCTGGAATGAGACAGTAAATATGTTTTATATCATGATTTACAGCAACTCAAGAAATGCCTTGTTTCACTTACAGCGTTAGGTTCAGGCAAAAGTAGCTAAAAGAGCAATTAAACACACACACACACATATTTATAAAATACTTAATTACACACATTTGAGTAGATGTAATAAATTACTTTAATTCCTGTTTAAATGCAATTCATCCTGCCATACCTGCAGTGTCTTCAGACTTTGCCAACAAATTAAAAGTTGAAGCTTAATCATTAAATTATTTTAATCTTTGCGTTAGATTTATTTATAAATCACATTTAAACACTGCTTGTACCAATTAAATTAAATAAAAAGTAACACACGTTCTGTATCACCGCCATTAATCAGACAAACAAACAAACAAACAGCTTCATCTACCAGACAGACTGACGTTACGTTTTCTCTCTTGAAACAGAACAAAGTGTTAAATTGTAGAGACTCACCTGCAACACATGAAGAGTTGGATCAGCTGCAGCTCCTTCCTCCTCCTCGTCACTCCCACATGTTTACGTTTTATCTCCGTGGTTCTCTCGTGTCGTGTCGTCACTTTTCAAAGCTGCATGTTTCTCAGTTTTTATCTTTGTGAAGAGCTCCCACACTTTAGAGGACTTGGGTCAAACAGTTTTCTCTGCGTCTGTCATTTGTAAAATTTACTTATTTTGCTTTGAAAACAGCCTCTGCTCTGCTTCCTCCTCCCCCCTCGCTCTGTTCAACTCGCGCTGCAGTTTTGTTTTTTCAAACTTTATTCAGTCAGTCAGCATTGACAATGAACTGCAGGTGAACAAAACGAAACGGCTCCGCAGCGCCGTGAAAGATGCATAATCGCGCGACACAACGAATCGATAACGAAATTCGTTGACAACGCTTTTAATCATCGATTTTTATCGATTCGTTGTTGCAGCCCTAGTTGAGTGTCTTGCCCAGGGACACTTCGGCAGGTGACTGCTGGTGGATTTGATATCTTACAAAAACATCTGAAGCTCTTGACATAGAGCTCTCTAAGTGGCTTCAAACATCCTAAGTTCCTGACAAAAAACCAATGCAGACATGTTCCTGCTTTTAGCTTTCTGCACTGCCTTATAATGCATCTTGTTTTAACTTGTCTATTTAACACAAGGTCAAGTCAAGTCAGATTTATTTATAGAGCACATTTAAAACAGAAACTGTCATCAGATCTGATTCAGTATTTCATCGTTTCTAATTGTTTTTGGTTTTATCATTCAACCTTTATTTAGACAGGTAAATCCCATTGAGCCTCGAGGACTCATTTACAAGAGAGACCTGATTTAACAAAGAAAGATGACAACAATGGACAACAGCAACAACAATAAACAGTTATAAAAAAGCATACTACAGTTATTTTTTTTATTTTATTTTTTTAACAAATAGGATGGCTAAAAGGAAAAGGTAACAAAACAAACAAAAAAAAAAAAGCTAGATTCCAAGACAAATGTAGAAAACTAAAAACAGGAACATTGTTAACACTGTTAACAAAGTGGAGTTGATCAGGGCCTCCATCCCCCGCTCCTTAGTCGACCCATCAGCTTTTGTTTCGTGTTCTGCTACTTTCAGGCAATTCAAACCAATCACGCTCCCATTGTTAAACAAAGTTGCTGGTCACATGAAGCCATCAGGATC